CATTCATATGGGTCCGATGTAATTGATGATTTTATTGAATTCAGACACAAGCTGCGTGAACTTGAAATCGTGATGCTGAGACCATTCTCTAGCTCTCTCTTTTCACGGCCAAAAAGTAAAAAAATAAGGGTAGCAGTGGTTGACTCTCTCTCTCTGTGGTATTGTCTCTCTTTCTCTCTCTCTCTCATACCCTTCTATACCTCTGAAACCAAAACAAAACAAAACAAAAAAAAGAAAAAAGAGGAGAGCTCTCTTTATTTTGGGTTCTCACATAGATTTTTGAAGAGGGGTTCACGACCATCTGTTTAAGCTGATCAAGTGTAGTGTGATGGAAACGTGGGTCTGACCCATGGAATATGGGTGAAGGGTGGTTTATTGTGCATGGGCATGTGGTGTTTATTCATGGCTTTTTGTTTAGTTGGGCTTACCAACATGTACTCCATAAGTTCTGAGGATCAGGTTGCTGATTATATCTATTTTATTTATGATGATTGATCGCGTGAGTCTCATGTGACTCTATATGAGGTTGTGCTCGTGCCATCTCTACCAAGAGTGATTAAGGTGTCACTGTCTTTATTTTATTTTTTCTTTTGAGTGTTTGTGAGGATTTTATTTTATTCATCTCTCTCGGATCTGTAATATTTAAAGTGTTGTAATAATTCACACCCCGTTTCTTTTTATTCCATTCTTTAATCGCTTTCCCTAACTGTACATATGTATATATCTGACGTGCCATGCATATCCATACTTTGCATCCATGTTTCATGCATTAAGATTCGGCTAAATTTGCATTTGTGAATTTAATCAATTCCTATGTGATTATTTGCGCTACTTTATGTTCTTGAGATGATTCACATGCCATATTTTAGATGCTGGATCTTTAGAAGCATTCTTGTATATGTATTGCATTAGGATTTGTAGATAAGATCATGCATATTTTACTAACTTTGTTTTATAGTTGTTCGAGGGACGTCGGTAAATATGTAAGTTTTTATGCTTTAGCATCCCGCTAGTACATAATTTTCTTATTATGTTTGGCATCTTACCATGTGACTATTTGCTTACTTGATATAATTGCTTGAATGCCTATGGATAAAGGCTTGTTGCTTCAATTGGAATGATTCAATGAATGAACATTTAAGCCCACTTTGTCAAGTGACAAATTTACAAGCTTTAAGCCCACTTTATCAACTGGCAAATTCAAACATTTTTCAAACAACAAACATGAAATTGAATTGTTTTAATTTGAGCAAACTAGTCTATACTTGTATGCTTCACATAATAAATTTTAGAATTTATTAACTAATCAGAACATGAACATATAAAGAAAATAAAATTCATATCATGGTTTAGTAGAGGCCGATCTTTTGATCGGGTGAGCGGGGGTGCTCAATTAATGACCTTCCCCCTTCATACCTGAGGTTCCGAGCCAAGCATCCTTGGTTACGACGAATATTGGCCTTGGCACAAGACACGGGTTTCCTAATTTTCCAAAAATATTAGGTGGCAACTCTGAGATCTGATGACGCAGTCCATTTCTGGCGAAAAGTTTTGCAATAAAATGGATTTTTACTAAAAGTTGTCAAATTTAGACTCTCATCTATATTTCACATTGCACTCGTGAGATTAGATCAAGGAGATCTCAGGAGTCTGAACTGTTTAACGCGCACGGGTACCCCCCGAGCATGTTACATTGACAAACTAACGCTAATCTGGAGAAATCTTTCACAAACCGACGGTAATACCCTGACAACCCCAAGAAACTATGAATTTCGAAAGTATTCTTAGGTTGTGCCCAATCCTGCACTGTCTCAATTTGGATGAATCTACAATCACCCTTTCCCCGGATATTACATGGCCTAAGAACTTAACATCTCTTAGCCAGAACTCACACTTCCCGAACTGAGCATATAGCTTATGGGCTCTAAGCAACTCAAGCACCACTTGCAAGTGTTCCTCATGCTCCTCCTCAGAGGGTGAGTAAATCAAAATATCGTCTACAAAGATGACCACAAAACGGTCTAAGAAATCTCGGAAGATTCGGTTCATCAAGTCCATAAACACAGTTGGGGTGTTGGTTAGCCCAAAAGGCATCACAAGAAACTCATAGTGGCCATACCGCGTACGGAATGCCGTCTTTGGGATATCCTCCTCCCTGACCCTCAACTGATGGTAACCCAATCTTAAGTCTATCTTGGAGAAACAACGAGACCTTTTCAACTGATCGAGCATGTTATCTATATGAGGCATTGGATACTTGTTCTTAACCGTAACCTGGTTCAACTTTCGGTAGTCAATACAAAGTCGCAAGGTTCCATCTTTCATTTTAGAAAATAGGGCCAGTGCTCCCCAAGGCGAAGTACTAGGGCGAATAAAGCCCTTATCTAATAGTTCTTGGAGCTGAATCTTCAACTCACTCAACTTAGCTGGCGCAAACCGATACGGTGCCATAGAAATTGCTGTTGTGCGAGGCACTGAATCAATAGAGAACTTGATCTCTCGATGGGGTGGTAAACTAATAAGATCCTCAGGAAAGAAATCTGAGTAATCATAAACCACTCTTGGTAACTCAACTCGGGCCTCATCACACTCACTACTCAAAAAGCTAGCAAGAAGACAACTAAGTTCACTCCGCCTACGCGAATCATACACCGGTGATAAGACTTTATCCACCGGTCCCCCAAGAAATAAAAACAATCACCGTTCAAGGTACACACAGTAACGCTCTGACGGTAGCAATCTATAACAGCCCGATATGATGATAACCAATCCATACCCAAAATAACACCAAAGCTAGTCATATCAAGCAAAACAAATGCAAAAGGTAATCGACGGCCTGCAACCTCGATGTCACAACCCCGACACCCCTATTTCAGAATAACCTCGCTACCAATTGGTGACTCTACACAAATAGAAGATGCTAGCTGTGCCAACTCCAACCCCAAAACAGATGCAAATGCAGACGAAATAAATAAATGGGATGCACCTATAAATCAACACGTTAGCAACTGAGTTGCAAAACAAAAGGGTATCTCTCACAACAGATGGAGCCGGTACAAGATCTGGCGCGGTAATAGCATACACGCGCCCCGTAGGTCTCTAATCTACCTGCTCACTCCTCAGAGCATAAGACTACTGCATTGATTGAGTCGAAGAGGCTCCCTGATTGGCTCTCGAGGCCTGTACTGATTGCGCTGGTTGGTGACTCTATGTCTGCCTCGATCCAGACGCACCAGGTGTGCCATCCAACTGAGGACAAAACCTCTTCAAGTGCCCCGTCTGCCCACACTGATAACAAGTGAGCGACTGGCCTCTGTCCTGACTCTGGCCTTTAGAACGAGCCGAAGATGAAGCTGCTCGCTGCCTTCCTCCCCTCTGCGGGCAAGTTGGAGACTTGTGGCCCAATTGACCACATTTGAAACATGTGATGTCTCTCTGACCACCTTTCCCAGAACCTGAACTCGGCACTGGAAAGGTAGACCTCGAATGTGCTCCCAGGGATTGTTGAGAGTTAGAACCCCTCTACCTCTTACTGTCCCCCTGTCTATCCTGACTCCTCCTGGAGCCCCTCATCCTCTCCTCATCCGTATGCATGATAGTCTCAAGATGGTCTGCAGCCTCCACAAGGCATCCATAATCCCTAATCATGGATTCGGCCACTCTGAACATGAGTCCAGTCCGCAACCTCTTCTCAAACTCCAAACATCGGCGCTCCTCTATCGCCACTAACTCCGGTGCAAACCTCGACAAACTAGTGAAGGTGGCTTCAAACTCAGCCAATGGTATATTCAATTGCACCAACTTGAAGATCTAATCCCTCAACTTCTCCCTTACTGTAGCAGGTAAGTACTTATTATCGAAGGCATCAACAAAGGCTTCCCAAGTCTCTCCAATGTGCCCCCGCGCATATTTTCACCACTCACTCGCGTCTCCCTTCAGCTGGAAGAACGCCAAGGTCACTCTCAAACCTCCATCTTCGATGCTAAGCATCTCAAACGTCTTCATCATCTGTTCTAGCTATTCATCGGCCTTCAATGGCTCATTGGGATCATCTAAAAACTCGTCCAGATTCGATCGAAAGAACTCACTCTTCAGAAAGGACAGGCCAGCTTCAGCTACTTGGGCCTGGACTTGATTCTCAGCCCTAGGAATATCCATAGATTCTCTCAATGCTCCGGCCATTTGACGGGCTAAGGTGCCCATGGCTTGTTGACCAACCAGTTTGGCCACATTGGCCTGACCAACACCTTCCTCCTGTGCCAGAATTTTATCCGGTATAGGCATCTCATGCCTCCTAGGCCTACTACGCCTACCACCATGACCTCATCCTAACATCCTAATGAAGATAACATAGAGATTAGCACATTCACAAATGTGCCGAAGTTAATTCACTCGCGTCCTAAAACGGTGGACACCAGTAATCTACTCCATATAAGCATATAATTACATAAACACATACGAATTCCATTCCCGGATAACGACCATCCCATGGCGTTGCTAGAGTTCCAGTTAGAAACGACAGTGATCAAGTGTCTTTCCAACAAGACTCCCAGAAACCCATAGACCCAATCAACATCCTAGAAATTAAATCACATACCCATATAATCACATAAGCATGTTATCATATAAGCACATAGCGTCCATAGTTAAGTCTCTAACAAGTGAGACAAACCCATTGTGGTACTAACCACTTCCTATGTACCCAAAGTATTCAAACCCGGTACGCTCTGATACCAAATTGTAACGCCCTCAAAATAAAGTGGATAATCCAACTCAAGATATTCAAAAGCATAATAGAAAATGTTATACTTTCATTCATCAGAGTTTATATTATAAGAGATATTACATGCATTATACTTTCATAAATATTCATTCTGAAACTACAGCATGTAACACTATGTGATTACAACAAAATAAATGCCCTACGGGCTTCATCTTTCCAAGATATCACTTGGTTATAACAAAAAAGTCCTAAGCTCTATAAATGTAAAGCCCTTGGCTTGAGTTAACAATTAAACACAAAATTAACAAAACAAAGCCTCCACCCTCTAAGTCCTTCCAAGCTATGCCCTTGGAAGAGGCATGTCACCTGTACTTGAAAATGGTTTCCCAAGTAGGGTGAACCAAATCCCAGTAAAGATATACTAACGCAGTATATGAAATTTAACTAAGATGTATGCATCAGTTTACTGTTCAACATTCGTGACTAACTTACATACCTTCCATTATCATACAATATTAATAACCACATCTTAATCCATTTTCATTTATTCATTTCAAATCAATGCATAAGTATGGTTCCTTATCATCTAAACCATCCCAAATGAGACTACAACTCATTCATTCACATTTCAATAACATTCATTATCCAAACACTTCAATCTTCTTGCCATTTTATGGATTCTCGTCTGAGGGAATCGACACCCAAAGATACACATATAAGGTTTCAGGACTTTCACCCTCGACACTCCGACCAACTTAATTTAAAATGGAGTCCATCCCCTATCTCCTCCCAAACAATGGAGTACATCCTATATCTCCTCTTAAATAATAATACATATATAATGTATTTAAAAACGTTGTTATATACAAAGACTATCCAAATCACATATCCAATGGTTTTATCAAACAGTCATATTCAATGACATAATTCAAATGACCAGTTTCGATTCACCTAGTCCTCATACAATTTCTATAACAACCATAGCTATCCTCCACCGATAGCCCAAAACAGATATTTCTAAACAGATATAAAATCTATTAACAGATAATTTATCAAATTCTCCATAGGTGAGTGATTTACCAAATCCAACTACACCATTCATTCACACATCCTCTCAATTTCATAGTCCCCATATCAATTTCATTATTTATACAAAATAATTATTTAACACAAATTAGGGCAATTTTCTCATTTTTTCAAATATCAATCCCAAGTCCAAATTTCGTCATTTTAACTCATGTAATCTCATATTCAATACCCCATATATATATATATATATATATATATATATATATTCATGGAACCCAACATAAAATTCTTCTTTTAAATTTTGAACTCAAACCCTAACTTTACCCAAAACCTTCCAAATTCCACTACTTATACAAAATGACAAATACCTAGGTTAAAAACCATAACAAGGTATAGAATATCCCTGCCTCAAGAGTAGAAGCCCAAAGGAGGAAAAGGAAGAACTTCAAGAATGCCCAAACTCCACTTCGTTCGGATCCAAAGGAAGCCCACAAGGTGCTCTATCGTTTTATCAAAAGGACTAGGGTTGAAAGACCCTTAGATCAAGGAGTATCTGTAGAGAAAGAGTGCCGAATTAGGGTTTTGAGTGAAAAGAAGATCAAAAGTGATGTAAAAATCACCATGCTGCGAACTGATATACGAGACCTTCGCTCGAGCGACCAGAAACAACAAGTAACCTCGCTCGAGCACAAGAAGCGTCGCTCGAGCGCAGAATGTAAAGCTTTAGAAGTTTTACAGATGCACACGCTCGCTCGAGCGCTTCACCTTCCCAGAAATTCTGCATTTGTGAAAGAAACCTGAGGGTTCTCAATTCTCACTCGAGCGTAAGAAACCTCGCTTGAGCGAAGAAGCAAATATCACAAGGCTAGCTCGAACGCAAGAAGCCTCGCTCAAGCAAATAAGCCAAAATCTGGACAATAACAATCTAGACCAACCAACAACCAACCTGTTCCAAACACGTCCCACATGTTCAAAAACCCAAATTCAAAGAGTTAAAGGAGGAAAACAAGACATGGATACAATATTAAACCACGAAATTTGAGTCCGAAATGTAACAAAGGTCGGGTCAAAACCAGGATTGCTATAGAGACTCACTATTTTAGCCAATGAAATGCATGTTGAAACACCATTTGGATTTGCCCCTGAAGCAAACTATAATTTCTCTTGAGAAAGGTAGAGGAGACAAAAATAATTGATTGATGTATAGTAGAAAGAAAAGTAATTTTGAAATTTTTTTCTATTGGCCAAATAATTTGTTATGTTTTAGATATATATGAGTGATCTAAAAAATATACGTAAACAGTAAACAAAATGTGAAGAAATGAAAAACAAATGTAATAAATATAAAACGTTTTAAATCAGAAATGGGTGATCTACATTAATGTATGTAGATTGAGTAGATATAAATCAAAAAAGCAGTTTTAAAATTTTAAAAACGTTCTTACGAACTAATATACACATATGAAACTTTGCCTTATGAATTATATTAGATCTATTTACAAAGTACATTTAGATTACATATGTAAAAGAAGTAAACAAAATAAAAATATATAACGATAAAAAATAAAATTGACTATAATATTGTAAAAAGTTTTGGCTACAAAAAAAAAAAAAAAAACGTTGTGTTTGGTTGAGGGATTCGGGAATGGATTTGAAAAGGAAAAAGAAAATATGTGTGAAAGTAGAAAAATGTAGATATATTTTATTCATATTTCACCTACATTTTTTCTTTCATTTTCCAAATTCCTTCCCAAATTCACAACCAAACACAACATAATTAAAAATTAGTTTTGAAAATTACTAACCAAACAAGTTTTCAATTTGCAAATTTCTAAAAACTATTTTCAAAATATAACTCAAAAATTAGTTTCAAAACTCATAACCAAATAACTTTTAAATGTTTAAAAATTCTTTTCAAAAACATATCTTTCAAAATGAATTTCAAAACTATTTTAACTTATTTCTTTGTCCTATTTAATTGGATATTTCCATGTAGTGTAATGAGATGCAATTAACAATATCGGTTCTTCAACGTAAACATAATTCAACAACAGAATTACATACAAGAATCACATATTTAAATAGATTTCATCTTATACGAAAGAATAGTAAATGATTTTATAATTAAATTATATTTCGTTTGGGAACAGGCTAATTTAGTAACTTTTTGGCTATTTGCCTAAAAAGGTAGGTAAAAAAAACTTGTATGTTTTGGATGACTTTTTGACTAATTACAAAAAGATGTGCAAAAAGTAGAGAGAAAAGAGAATCTTTGACTTTTTGGTATGAGTTGTTGGCTTTTTGACTAATTGATTAAAATAGCCTCTTGCCAAACGAGAAATTATTGAAGTGTTGAGTTTGAATCCATTAGGAGTAGTTGACGTTGTGGTTGCGACATGCGTTGTTAATTTTTTTTTATTATTTTTATATAATTGAATATCTATTGCACATAGTTAGTTTGATATTTATAAATTATTTCATGCCGATATGAAAAAAATAAAAGAATAAAAAAAAAATTATTGGCCATGGCGGACAATTGCAATGGATAATGTGACAACCATGCAGGTTACACAAAAAGAAAATAAGCTCCTTAACCAAAAAAAGTTATTTTACACACCACAATCACACCCAGAGAAAAAAGAAATTTTTTTTTTTAAGATATTTAATTTACCATTTTTAAAAATCACTCCTAATGATTTGTTTGATAAATATTAAATTTTAATTTATCAAATCTTTTATTATGTAAATTTTAATTTCAATACTATATCATTAGAAATTATTTACAGATAATAAATTAAGAAGATGTAGCATTATTGAAACAGTTAACACAGCCTTAAGACGTGGGGCCGTCATTCATTCAGACAGCACCTCTTCTGCGCCGAAACCGCAACACAAACATGCAAGGCTGCAAAAGAATTAAAATTTGAATTTTAAAAAGGTGCACGCTCTGTCTGATAGGGTTTATTTCTAATTTATTTTAATTTTTAGTTTAATTTAAGTTATTTTAATGTATTTGATTCAATTTAACAATATAATTTATAGCTTTTTATAAGTCAAAAATTAAATTATTCTTTGAGTGGAGGATGAGAAGCTTAATTTATAAGTCAAAAATCAGCTTATGTTCACAGGTATAAGTTATAAGTTGTTAGGTTATAAATTAAAATCACTTTTCCACAGTTCTACCAAACAGAGCCAAACAAACAAACACAAACATACATAAATTAGAAAAATGCTTGGGAGCATTAAAAAGAGAGTACTAAGGGGAGCACTAATTATGTGGCAGTAGGCCCCACCCACTTTCTATGCTTTTTTTTTTTTTTTTTTTTTCTTTTTTTTACCATTCCTTGCCATTCCCAATATAGTAGTGCTATTAGTGGTGTATTTTTTAGTGGTCTAAATTATTGTTGCATAAATTATTAGGGTAGATTATACTTTTTGCCTCTATTATTTGACCAAGATTTCCCTTTAGTCTTTGGGTTCATATGCGAAGTGAATTGATTTTTTGACTATTTTAGTTTGGGACTAAAAAGTCTCGTTTAGGAAGGATTTTTTTGACTTTTTTGTGAGAGAAACAATGTAATGATTATGGATTGGATGTGATATTTTGTCTTATTAAGCTAAAAAGTCTATTTTGTCTTTTTATGACTAAAATAATCGTGACCTTGCTTCCCAAACAAAGCCTTTATAGTTTTAATTTGAACAATCTAATATTTATACTTTAAGTTCAGTTTTAATTAGCTTATTTTATCCAAATTTTCGTTTTTAATATTTTCTACATATTCAACCAAGAGATTGACGGTCATTAGTTTTAAGTTTCAATTTGAATAGAAAAATCAAAAGTGGAGTTAAACTGCAGAAACCAAATTATTCAGTTTAAAAATATAAGATTTAAAGTGAAATTTAAATTAAATTATAGAAATTAAATATGTAATTTACCCTAAATATTAATAATATGAGAAGAACCACTCCCTTGGGTTCGGGTTCAAGCTGGGACCATTTGGGATCCGAACTCAACAGTCTATTCCCGAATATCATATGGTGTTGCATCAACATTTTTTTTTCCCGCAAATCAAAAGTTTAGATTTGTCCATCTACTTATGAAACTCAGTGAAAGAGTTAATCAAACTTGACATCTTTATACTTTTAATTGTGACAATCAACTGCTTATACTAAAGTTAACAAAAATTAAAAATGAGAGGAGCGAAGTAAAATTTTAATAAAAATGCAACGATTAAATTGAGATTTTAGTAAAAGTATACAAGTATTAATGAGACGAGAAATATATCACCTATAACTTATATGACAAGTTCCATCAACTTTATTATATTATATGGACGGAATTGTGATATTACAACTGATTTCAAGTGTAAAAAGTTAATTATCATAATTAAAAGTAAATGAATCAAAGTAAAATTTTAATAAAGTACAAAGATGTTAAGTATTCATCCAAAAAATAATTTATTATCTATCTCCTCATCTTCTTCTTCTTCTTGTTCTTCTTTTATCTTTTTCTTTTTCTTTTTCTGTATTATATAATGTAAATTGTTAAAATGACTAGTTAAAATAAATTAGTGAAGAATAAAGAATTGTATGAGCATACCATGCTGCAAAGATACCAACATCCTTTTTTGCGTCGTCTTTTTGTGAGTCGTCCGTTTTCTGTTCCTCTGGGGACCCCCCTAATTTGATTTATATTAGAAATTATTATGGGACAAATGTTAAAAATAATAAACATGTCAATCAATTCTGTTTTTGCATCAATTGGAAATAATTGAAAAACTCAATGGATCATACAGCAGTATCTGAAATTTGATTCACTCATAAGGACATTAATAATGAAGAAGAGGGTTTTTTTTTATATATAAATATTTTTTAACGAAACTTAATGAGAGAAAATTGAGTGGAAGAAAATTATCATTATTGTAAAGAAAATTTTTAATTGAGAGAGAAAAAATCCAAACACGTATAAGAGGAATTAAGGTTCACAAGAAATACTAAAATAGTATTTGAGTGGTAGTTTTTGCATTGGAAAAGTGTAATTTTTTTTTCTCCCGTCTACGTGCCCATCACGTGAACACTTTCTGTCCATTTTTAAACAATAAGTAATGGAAAGAATATATTGAAACAACATATTTTAGATTTAATTATTACAATTAGAATATGAGAGGGTGAAAAGCATAATTTACCCTTTGTTAAACTAACATCTATTCTTTGGAAAAAAAAAGAGAGACAAAGAATAGGGAGAAGAGTGAGATGCATGGGGTACCTGTAGCAGGGGTACCCTTAGCAGGGTCAGGGTTATCACTCTTAAATGGGGTATCTGTAGCAGGGATACCCTTAGCAGGGTCAGGATTATCACTCTTAAATGGGGTATCTGTAGCAGGGGTACCCTTAGCAGGGTTAGGGTTATCACTCTTGAAGTTACTCATCTTTGCCACACAAATCCAAAACAAAGAAGAAGAAATAGAGAACTGATTGATTATTGAAAGATTGGGGCTTAGCAGACTACTGAGGTAGGATGTGTTCTTTTTATATACCTCAAGGAAGTTTGGAATACTTTGGAGGAAAGGGAAGCAAGAGAGCGAGTGATCTAAGAATAAAGGTGATCTCAAGGCATAATGCACATTTTCTAATAGATTGAGATAGTGACATGTTTGGGTCACCATTCTCATATCATCTTATATGATGTGTTCGAATCAATAAAAATAACCATTATATAAGAATAAAAGTGACTTGATGAAATGATTAGATAATGTGAGAAAGTCACTTCTATTTATTTTCTTTTACTCAATCTCATTGAACACAAATATTATATATCATATATTACATTAATACTTTGAAATTAGAGTTATTAAATGAACCAAGTTATTGGAACTCGATTTGTGTTTGATTATTTAAAAAGCTTGTTCGAAATCGGCTCGATATGTAGATTAGTCAAGTTTAAATACAATTTTTAGCTCATTAAATTTTCAAATCAAATTTGAACAACCTGCTACTTAGCTCGATAAATTTACATACAGTTAAAATATCATACTATTCAAACTCGACTAGTGTTTAGCTCATATAATTATGAGTCATTTCAAGTCCTATTCGAAACAGAGCACTACTTTCACTTGTCTATGCCAAAATGATTAATTATAAGAACTAAAATATTAGGTTCTGGAAATTGGTTGGTTCTAGAGACAACTAGATAGAACAAAGTTATGTCACGACATATGTGGACGAAGAAGAGGGGATATATTCCACACACACCACTGCATTGGTTCAAATTGGAATTTTCTTTTGGAAACTAGTAATAATATATAATATAATATAATATTGTTATGTTCTTCAAGAATGGTATCAAACTTTACTAGTAATTAACAGATGAGCAAACCAACCCCACCATCTTGTTCCTCCCTCAAAATTGTGCATAACGCTATACACATTTTGGTTTGGACTGGATTAGATAATATTAACATTTTTATAATTGTTAATCTTAAATTATCAATTTCTTTGAATTGTGTACCATAATCATCTAAAATTATGATGAGAGATTGACAAAAATCTATCAATTTTCTAATTTAGTCATTTATTAGTCTAAACTTCTTCTTAATCTCTTATTTTGTAAAATTTTTAAATATTTTATGGTTGATATTCATTTCAAGTGCTGTTCTTGTTATATAAAAATTGTACTTGGACAATATATTATTTTTTCGAGATAAATTTCTTTACAAATTTTCTAAGTTCCTTCATTCCCGTAAGAGGCAATAATCCCTTGTATAGAGATACATATCCAAGTAAACTATTAGCCTCAATCCTAATTTTTTTTAGTTAAATATTAAATTATATATTTTATTAGATTATTAAACAAATCACCAAGTAATCTCTCTCAAAGAATCCAAAGATTAAAATAAATAAGATAGATGTGGAAGTGGCATTACTTTGACACAAAAGCAACACGTTTTTCCTGTCCGACACGTCACAATTGCTTTTGTTTATTTATGTTATAAAAATTAGGAGAAATTTTATATCAGTGTAAAATTTAAAAAATAATTAGTAAATTTTATCAATATTAATTATTAAAATTGTAATTTTTTTCATACATATATAATAATTTTCTCAACTTACACTGAGAGATAATTTCCCCTAAAAATTAAGATAAATTACATTGACACTCCTTTTATTTTTTAAAATTTTACTGTATCTCCTCTTGTAAAATTTTTGTAATAATTTGATCATTCTGTTAATCAACAAATTTTGACCTAATAGAAGATAATGACGTCAGCAAAGATAATGCCAATTTTGCCCTCACTCCATCCCTCTTCCCTTTTTCCTATATATAGACACCTGTACTAATTTTACATAATAACCCCAACCTTGAGTTTATGCAAATGAGAACTATTTGAAAAACTCGATCGTTGAAGTCACCAATATGAGAAAGATATTTGCATCTCTATACATGTAAATATGATGTTTACATCTATCGTCGTATATTAATTTCAATTATTGTTTTGGATATAAATAGAGAGAATAAAAGAAATAGAACGCGTTTTTTAAAGAATGGTGAAGAGACAAAGATAAAGGGGAAATTTAGCTATAACCCCTTTTTACCTTCTTTTTATTGTTAAAAGGACTAAGAAAAAACTTATACTTTCTAAACCCCCTCATATTTATAAAGTTTTGCATAAAGGACAAAATTTATTATTTAAATATTTTATAGGACTATTATATCCTCAACTTCTGCATATATAATCAGCTTCGTCATCAACTGTATCATAATCACCATAGTTGCATCTTCCAAGTTTCAGCAGAAGGTCGTCGACAAGCCGCCGCCATAGTCGCGTCTTCTAAGCTTCAGCAGAAGGTCCTCTCTTCATCTTCATAATCAGCAACGATGTGGCTTTGAGTATGTTGAAATTGAATGAGGATGTCGTTGGAGATTCGAAAGCTAGGGTTTTGGAGTAGATGGAGATTTGGAGTGCGGTGGAGATGGCTCAATTGGAAGCGGAAAAGAAACATGATGAGGTTGTTGATGAGATGCTGGCGATGTTGAATGCGAAGACTAAAGCTTCGAGATTGAAAGAAGTTGAACAGGAGGTTGGGAAGGATGTGGATGAGGAACAGTAGAATATATGTATATATATATATATGTATAAGTGTTGTTGAACACATGTATTCTTTTTCATTGAGATGTGTGATTGTTGATCGAGTTTTAGAAGTTTTTCGTTTCAATTAGATATGTGAATTTGTTGATTAATTTGTTTTGTTTTTGTTTGTTTGTTTTTTTTTTGAAGTTTTTTTTCTCAATTAGATATGTTGATTTGTTGATTAATTTGTTTTATTTTTGTTTGTTTGTTGGTTTTTGATTTATTTTTGTTGTTTTTTATCTAATTTCATTTGACAGAACCAGAGTAAAATTTTACTCTGGTTCTATTGCTCTGTTTTTTTCATTTGACAGAACTAGAGTAAAATTTTACTTTTATACAGAGTAAAATTTTACTTTTGTGTAGAGTCTAACATTTTACTAGTTCTTCAGAGTAAAATTTTACTTTTATACAGATTAAAATTTAATTTTAGTTTCAGAGTGTAACATTTTACTCTTATTCAGAGTAAAATTTTACTTTTATACAGAGTAAAATTTTATTTTTAGTTTCAGAATGTAAAATTTTACTTTTATACAGAGTAAAATTTTATTTTTAGTTTCAGAATGTAAAATTTTACTTTTATTCAGAGTAAAATTTTACTTTCATACAAAGTAAAATTTTATTCTGAAATATATAGTGAAGATAGCTTAATAGGAGAACTGATAGATATGAGGGTAATATAGTAAAAGAAACAAGTTTTAAAATATTAGGAGGTTTTGAAAGTACTTATATAATTCTTGTCCTTTTGAAAGACAAATTAGATAATGAGGGGACTATCACCAAATCCCTCAAGATAAAGTGATGGATGTCAAGTAGAGGTGGGAAGGAGGAGCGAGAGACATGGCATCTATAAAGAAAAAGTTCAAGTTGATATTTCGAAACCTTTATTTTTTTTGTATGTCAATAATGCCCTTGCATCATTGTTTAAAAATTTACATATAACCCTATAACTGCTTAGAAGTTAATTCAGAAAATAATTCCTGTTAAAACTTCTCTTTAAAATTTTAATATCTATTTATTGACAAACTACAAAAATAAATTTTTATCTAATTTATTTATATAATACATAAATATTTATATAACCCACACACATTTGTATGAGTAGAACAAAGGGAAATTCTATGTGTGTTTGCTGGATGGTGAGTCGCTGTTTTTGATCAATTTCTGTCCTCAATATGATCTGAAAGGTCAGTTCGTGATGATGTGTTCTCACTATCACATTTGAAAGAGTAAGAAAGAAAATTATGTAAGTGAGAAATATGAATGAGATTTATTTTATTTCTCTGTATTTGAAAGAACAATATAATGTTGGAATTAAGTGAGGGAGTTCGCTTTCTTACCATTTCACACCCAACTCACAAACCAATTATGAGAAAAGAATTATCTTTCTCACCATTTCTTATCATTTCTCGCCAATCATCCCATCCAAACGGAGTGTGAGTGTTTGTTGTCACGAAGCTTTCATTATGTTGACACTACTTAATTCATGAATTTGAGTAGAAATTTACAAATGGAAAGAGAAAAATATAAGTGAAATGTAAATGAAATATAATTATATTTCACACTTTTTTTTTTTTCCCTTCAAATTACTCTCCAAATCCACAAACTAAACACAACCTTAAAGAAAATAAAAAAAAAAAAAAACCCATTTATTGACTTTGGTTAACAATATTACTACACAAGGTTGAATTTGAATTTTAAATTTAAATAAAGTGACAAAGGTAAAAAATTGTCACTTCACAAGCCTCTGCGTAAAATTCAAACGCAATTTTAATTACTATTAAAGTTTTGAATTTGAACCCACTAAACTAAGGGGTGATGGACGTTGTCATTATGATAGGCATGAGCAACTCTGTATGATTTCACATTATTAGATTTTCTTATATAGTTTAATGTTCATTCTCACAAAATTATAGTTTAAAATTGTCGTGGCATTTATAAATTATCTCTTGCTAATTCAAAAAAAATAAAATAAAATTTGGCCATGGTGTACAATTGCAAGGGATAATTTGACAACCAAGAAGAAGGTTAGAAAAAAATAAAAATTGCATAACTTATATGTAATGATAACTACTAAATTATTTTGAACATCACAACCACCCAGAAAAAAGAAAACCAAAAAATTCTGGTATTTTTACAATTAAAAAAGAAAAAGAAAAAGAAAAGCAGTGTATAGTAGCTAGAAACTTAGAACGCACATAGGAGTGTTTTGAAAGTTGGTAAAATGTTGATTTTTTAACTTTTTTAACTTATTTTGTCTTTTTGTGGGTAAGTTATGTGAGAGGTGATGTGACTCAAAATTGATAAGAAGCTGCAACATATGGAGGGGGTTGACAGCAACAACAGCAACACAAGTCTAAGAGGCACCAGAAACTGCAATTTCAAACAAAAAATTAATTATCAATATTGGAATTTTTAAAAGATTAAACAAAAAAACAAAAATACACACACACCCATATATATATATAAATATTAAAATATACTTGTATATTAATAATATATGGTTATGTTTGTTTAGAGGACTGGATTAGGGTATTGTGGGTGTTAATTTCTGACTACACTACCAAATAGGTACTCAGCTGGAGAGCATCGGCAGAATAGATTGCACCTGAACAACCTGTCAC